CCGTAGGAAGTCATGTGTTAGAGTTGCAGTTATTCGCCCCCCACCCACTTGCAGGGCGTCTCAGCCCCTCTGGGGACCTGGTCTTGTTCCCAGGGATCAGGGGGCGGGGAGGAGGGTCCTGCTTCACACCCACTACTGACTTGTCCAGTGCCTGGCTGTGCTGACAGGCACCCTCGCCTCCAGGCAGTCCTGGAGCAGAAGCTGGGCTGGGGCAGAGGGCACAGGCAGTCCGTGCCAGTCTGGGATTACCAGCTGGTCACCTGACCTGCGGGACTGCAGCCCATACTGTGGCCAGAGAAGGCTGCCTGACTACACCCCGTCCAGACCCCGATGGAGGACAAGGAGTGACCGGGTGCAGCAGAGCCCTTGGACACAGCCTGCGGGGCCAGCAGGTACACGTCAGCCTCAGTGGGGCTGGGGCTTTCTGGGCAGACACCTGCTGGAGGCCCAGGAGCTCCTGCACCTCAGGCACTGGCCAGGTTTACCCTTCTGCCACCTTGGGCTTGAGTTGTCTCAGGGTCCCGCTACAGATCACTAAGGGTAAATTCAGACCATTCACACGCAGGTGACTTCCAGTGGCTGCCGGGAGCGAAGGTCTAGACCAGGAGAGGGAGAGAAGTCCTCTGGCCCTAGGGTCAGGCTTGTCAACCTGACCTACTACTCCGCCGCACTGGCCTCTAAGACCCAGAGACCAGACCAGACCAGACAAGGCTAAACCAGACCAGACCAGACCAGACCAGGCTAGACTGGAGCAGGACAGGCCAAGCCAGACCAGGACAAACCAGACCCAACCAAACCAAGCCAAACCAGACGGTTGCCATGGAGTTGGTTCCGACTCCAGGAGACCCCAGTGTTACAGAGCGGAAGGAAGCTCCTCCGCACGGTTTTCTTGGCCGTCCTCTTTAAGGGAGGGTCACCAGGCCTTGCTTGCGCAGCACCCTGGGCAGGGTCCAGAGGCAAACCTGTAGGTTGGCTGTTGAAAATGCACAGTTGGCTCCCCACGGCCCTACCGAGAACCCAGAGGCTCAGAAAGCCAGGCTAGGAGCACTCCAGGTCTCTGGGTGTGTGTGTGGCCACGGGCAGGGCTGGGAGGTGCCGGCGCAAGGTCCTTTCCTATGTGAGCCCCACGTTACAGCTGAAGAACGGAGGCTCAGCAAGTTGCCGCAGGTCACCCGGAGGCCGGCAAACTTGGACGGGAGCTGCCCTTTACCACTCACCCACTGGATGTGGGGGTGTGTCCTGTGGGGTCTGTGTGTGACTGTTTGCCCCAGGAAGCCGGGAGCTGGCACGTGAGAGCTGGTGGCATGTCCTGGAGCCCCACCGGCTCACTCGTGGAAGGAGCCCTGGACTCCACCGCTGGCCTTTTTTTTTCTTCTTTTTTTTTTAAAGCACTTAGAGAACAGACTGGAACTGATAGCTGAATTAAACCTGCTGAGAAGTGCCTGTTTAATTGAAAACGCCATCTGTAATTTAAATGCCAGAATTGGGCTAGTTATTACGGCCGCCTTGAAGAACGGGGCTCCTTTCACAGTTTCCAAACAGACCCAAAGAAAGCAGCAAATGGACCATGGCCGGTGGCGGCGTGGAGCGATGATTAACCTCTCTGCCCCCACCACTCTGCAGCTCCACCGAGGCCCCCCGGGGTGGCGGGGGAGGCTGACCGGGAGCTGGGAGGACTGAGGACACAGCCCCCTGCCCTGCCCCTCATTTCTGCTGAAGGACCGGCTTCTGAGGGCAGGTGGTCACCTTGGTCTCTGCTTGGACTGCTTCTGGCACTTCTATGAGGAGATGCTAGGCTGGGGCCACAGATCTGACCACCTCTCCCACTGCAGCTCCTGCCACTGCCTGTGGCTGCAGCGCCGGCTCCCCGAGAGGCCTTCCTTTACTCCAGGGTCAGGGTGCCCAATGCGCGAGACCGGCTCAGGCTTCCT